AGATCACCGTAGGTTTCCTCCTCATTGATTAATGAAATAAACAAGTAGAAAAAGAGATGCTTTGTCTTTCAAACTGGGGGAGTACAAGAGTGTTCTCAATGTTTATATACATATTATAACCCTAAAACAATCTTTTCCAATAATTGTCCCGATGATTCTTGCAAATCGACGGACTGTGCAATTTTTTTTTCAAAATCCGAAGAATTTTCTTAGTTAACAAATGGAACTCTCGAAATATAACAAAAACCAGGTGTCAAATTCTTGACAGAATAGCTTCCTAGCTGAAACCAAAAATTGCCAACATTATGTACGCACTTACAGACGGGAAAAATTTATTCTTTAAAAGTTGCTTAAAATGATCTAAAACGTCAACATTTGATGAAATTTCGCATTGTACCTAGTTCCATAAATAAGAAAGTTGCATTTCTACGCATGCGCAACACGATTTTTGCGCATGCATTTTGTTTGCTTTTATTAAAGGGACTTACCATAGAAATTTCGTTTAAATTGCTTCAGAAACAAGATCGTTGCGTTTTGCACATATGCAACACAATTTTTTGACTTCGACAATTTTTTTCTCCGTTTTTTGATAATATAACCCGGCCCAATTTTTTGTAGGTTGTACACAGGAAAATAAGGTCTTCCAAATAATAGAATAAAAATTTTAGGTTGCTATTTGAAAAAAAAAGTTCGATGCCGTTACGGCGCTCCAAAATTTTTTTTAAAAAATCCGGCCCGTTATTTTTCTGTTCGGTATGCCTAAAACATATATACAAAATTTCAACAAAATCCGTCGAGCCGTTTTCTCAGAAAATTGCCAACAAACGTACGTACGTACATACAGACGGAAAAAAATTTTATTCTTTAAAAGTTGCTTAAAATGGTCTAAAACGTCGACATTTGATGAAATTTTGAAATGTTCAAAAAACGGCTATCGCAATAGCTACCTAGCACATGCTAGGAAGCTAAATATATAACTCTATAATAGGCGAATGTAAAGCTCTCGGAAAGCCGTGCATTAAAAAAAAATACGTCCAAATCCGATTAATAGTTCACGAGAAATCAGCTTTTGACTTTGAAGCCAGTTTTCGAAACAACCAAAAATGATTTTGCAAATCGGGTCGCACCGATCGATTCTTTACAGCGTGAACTTTTTTCATGCTTCTATTTCACCAAAATGAATGATTTTTATTAATCCGAGTGCCAAGGGCCGATTATAGAGTTACTTTTCTTGTTAAATCTCGGAAGCTATTCGATTTGTTAGTTAACTAAAAAAATTCCACAGTCCGTTGATTTGCAAAAATGACCGGGACAATTATTGGAAAAGATTCGTTTACGGTTCCACTATGTATAAAAAAAATTGGGAACACTCTTGTACTCCCCCAGTTTGAAAGACAAAGCATCTCTTTTTCTACTTGTTTATTTAATTAATCAATGAGTATGAAACCTACGGTGATCTGGTTTGTCATATTGTTTTGTTATCAAAAGAAGTTACTAAATACGGATTTTCAAAAAGATCGGATGAATTTTACTTAGTAATAACAAAGTGTTAATTTTCGAGATTACTTTTTCACATTTTTCCATAAATAACAATAACAGATGAAAATGAGCATTCCGGGCCAACTGTATCTTATAGAAAATTTTATTCTAAACAAGTTCATTACTATTCATTTTTTCCCTCCGAGAGATATTCGAAGTCAAATGTGAAAAAACATGACATTTTCCCATTTTTTCTTCGTTTTTTGTTTATAACAATATAATAATAATAATATAATAATAATGTGTTTATTTCCACCAAATTAAAAAAATGGAAACCACAGGGGTTATCGGTTCAGTTGCTGCACAGGCAGGTTCTGATCTTCCACCGACTCCCTGAATACAATTAGAATTAACATAATCAAGTAATGCTTATAACTGAGTAATATAATAAAAAGGAAAATATGAAATAGTAATAAATGCACATAGGAGTAACTAAATGAGAGTGAGATGAAAAGAGATTGAGTAATATACTAAGAAAAGCGGACAAAGAGACGAGAGACAAGTTAAACAAGATAGATATGAATGACAATCTACAACGTACGTACAGAGTCATGGGCTAATATTTGACGCAATTTAATTTTGAAATACTGCGGAGAAAGGGGCTTAATCAAATCTGGAACAGAGGAATATACTTTAAAAATATTATAACTAAAAGATCTCTTGTACATTTCGGTGTGATGAGAGGGTGGAGTAATCCCACCTCTAAACCGTAAATTTAAGTTGTGAACATCGGTTCTAAAAGATATTTTGCGGTATAAATATGGAGGAGATTTGTTCCAGATAATTTTATGATACATACAGACACGCCGCAGTAAGCAGTCGCCTATCCCTCATGCTGAACCAGCGTAATTCTTTTAATTTGGAAGATACTCGATCAAACTTCCTAAGACCAAATACTAGTCTAATACAGGAGTTTTGTACTCGCTGTATTCTTGCAGACATATCCTGAGTGATGCACGGACCGTAGACTTGCGAACAGTAATTAAAGTGGCTTAGTACCAGCGCGTTACAGAGTTGAGCTTTTAAAGTTTGGGGCAAGTAGTGCCTATGGGGAAAGATACATTTTAAATTTGCATATGCTCTCTGGATGTAGCTAGTGAGTAATTTGTTGTATCTAAACGAATTGTCTATCATTATTCCTAAATTTTTTGCTTCCTCCTTTAGTGCAACCGCTTTGTCGCCAATTCTGAATTTTACCAAATGTTTCAAGTCGGTGACTTTCTGCTTGTTACCAAACAACATGAACATATGCTCCGGGCGTTTCCGGCCAGGGGGGCTATGATTTTCCGATTCAGCGGATATTTTTACATACAATACGTTTGGTTTCGTTCAGTGTTTCAGTGGTTTCGAGCACGCCTCTATTTCATTTTTATTGAACTTGTCCGTTATTAAATCACAACCCTGTATATAAAATCGGCCGAAAAAGGACTTATTTCAGATCAAACGCGAAGTGGGTAGCTTTTTAATCGATTTTGACACAAAATCAACAAAAGTTAAGTTCCCAGACAAAATTGAACTCTTTTTCAAATTGTTAAAAAATGAAATTTCGTAGTTGATTTTTAGCTCTAAAATTAAAATAGCAGCACTATAGAGTGTGTCCCAGGCAAAACGCACCATAGGGAAACGGAAATGTATTTTTTCGCGAAGGAGGCTTTTAAAATTAGCGTTCAACGTAGAGATAGTTCCAAAACTAAAAGATGATTGCGCAGAAACCAATTACGGTACGAATGCAAATATACTATCTAACCCAAAAATGTTGGCATTTGTCAGTGTATGTTTAAACGGCTTGCCCTTTGTGATCATAATACAAACGCACTGCAATGACATTATACAGATACATGATAATCGGAAAAAAGACATGCCCAATACCACACCAGAATTTTTCTATCTAACTCATTCTCTCTATACCCCGCAGCCAATGGCCCATATGAATAAAAGGGAGCATATGCTTATACTTGCAAAATTCAAAGTAAATACTCGTAAGTGCCCCCTCACACTGGGCGACTTAGCAGCGCCGCTTAGCCACGGGACGGGATGCAATGCAGAGCTACAGAGCAGCCCAGTGGAAAGGGGGGACTTACGAGTATTTACTTTGAATTTTGCAAGTATAAGCATATGCTCCCTTTTATTCATATGGGCCCTTGGCTCCAAAGTATAAGAAAACTGGATTTGTCACAAAGCAATTGTGAAACTGATTTTCCCAATACTTTTTTCGTCCAGAATCATCAATAGTTAATATTTGTCCATCCAATAAGAGCTTAAGAGTCAAGAGCAAAAAATTGGTTTTAATAAAACAAAGTATACACCTTAATATCTGTCACGTTCTTACATGAAAAGTCCAAAATCGATCCAAAGATGAATTCAGCTCTTCTACGTATGTCTAAGATGATGTGTACCAAATTTGTTTCTAATCGGTTCAGCGGTTTAGCCGAAAATGAGAGTACAGACAGACAGACATCATCCAGATTTTTTTAATTCGTGTTCCTGGTGCCTAAAAACGTGTATTTCCGTCAAAAAAGTGGGTGATCATCCGAATGCAATTCCTCCCTTGCCAACGTGTGGGTTGTAAAAATGATATTGTGAGCATTACGTAGAACTTTTTTTCTGATTAAGAAAAGTATATAATTATACCTCCAAAACTTTTGTCGTGTCAAATCTAATGGGATATTTTAGGCTCTGTCGTAAAGCTTCCCTCCAAATTGTGCAGGAGTGGAACAGAGGAAAACTCAAAACACATTTCCCAAAATTTGCGCTATTGATGTCTGTCTGTCTGTCTGTCTGTCTGAGTCACAAAAGCTCCGGAACTACACCACTTACAGACTTGGTATTGGTGTCATTCTATCAGAAATTAAAAATTATTTCATGTTTGTATTCTCCCTAAGACACGAAATGTCCATAAGGGCTATTAAAATCGAAAAAAACAAATTTAAAAGTGCACTCTTCGTTTCTTGCTCACATAAGCGGCTTAACGAATTTTTTTTCCATTCTATAGCTTTATCAGTCCAAATTGAGCTGTGTACTCACCTTTGCCTACTTAAAAGAAATTCAACACAAGCCCTTTTGTGAATATTTAGCATTAGAGAAAACCTACCTACCTACCAAAACCGGTACGCTATTGATTTCAATTGTGGACGCGGATTGGTGCGGATACGTGTATCTCTCCGAGTTTCATTTTACATTACATTGTGGTGTATGTTCTAAGTAGGAATGTATTTTACTCGGAGGAGAGTGTGTTGCATAGTAACATGAGTATTATCTCCATACTACAATTGCACCTGCAAACATTCACCGTAGCATAGTTCTCCGATTCCCCATTTAATTACTCGCTCTATGATCCGTTCCAATAAAATTACAGGCGGCAAGTCTCATCACGTAAATGAAAGTGTAAAGTGAACAAATTTTGAAACATGAATTTCTTCTCCAAATGCTTCCTCTTAATGTTATGTAACTTAAATTATGTCATGTGCTACCACCACCAAAACCGTTCGAAATACTCACATCTGCACACGAGAAAAAGTTCGGAACTCTACGAGAGCTACCAATGGCGTCAGCATCGTGAAAATCTCTTCAGCTACAGGGAGACGGAGACGCATCACATACGCCACCATCCCGAGCTCAACGTACAAGAGATACTTTGGCCGGTGAAAAAGGAAGCGGTCGTCGAGGGTAATCTAGTTTTGGGCGGACTGATGATGGTACACGAGCGCGAGGATTCCGTGACGTGCGGGCCGATAATGCCCCAAGGAGGAATACAGGCGCTCGAGGCGATGCTTTACACCTTGGACCGACTGAACGAGCCGAAAACCTCGTTTCTGCCAAACATCACGCTAGGAGCTCACATTCTGGATGACTGTGATAAGGACACGTACGGTTTGGAGATGGCGGTGGATTTCATCAAAGGTAAGGACATGCTATTGTAGAACATGTCTTCCTGTTGTTTAATTCAAATTTTTTGCATTAGAATTCATAAAAGCTCTTGGGAGGGACCTTACAAACAGTCCGGTGATTCTAAATTTTTGATATGTCATCTAGGATGGTTAATGTTTAAAATGCCAGATGCACAATTCCTCCCCCTGCTGCCATATTGAAAAAACCGAAAAAATTCGCCACTTTCTTCAGATTTTCTTTGCTTTTGTTTCTACACTTTTTAAAAAAATGAAAAAAAATGGCATTTTCCATAAATTTGTTAATAATTTAGAACGCTGTAATTCCGTTATGCTCTATTCTAGGAAAACAAGTACCAGAATAAAATTTATGGGGAATTTAACTACCTAGAAAATGCATGTAACTTTTTTAAACCAACCCTACAGAGTGAGGAAAAACGTAGCAGTGACAACAATGGCATTTTTCTTTTTTTTGCTATTGCTACTGCAAATGTACTAAAAAAATTCACTAAATTTAGTTGAATGGCCGGCACCTGGTTCAAATACTGGAATAGTGTTTGTAGACTTACTTAGTGTTGCTGGTAAAATTGTGAACACTCACAATGACCGATTGACCCTAAAAATAGCGGTATAAATTATATATCGGTCAGTGTTTTTTTCTCTACCAATCCCGAACGGCGGTTAATCGACCCTATCTCTTTTCAGAACCTGCACGCTGGGCATATTCTATGTTGACTTTAGTTCATGATGAGTTAGGATATGTAACTTTATATCCCTCTTAAAACGAATGTAATCCTATCCCCACGCCTGCTGTAACCAACATTTTTTTGGGGAGACACTTGCCATTTTTTACAGCTTCAAAAATCCTACTTGACGTATTTCTGCGAAAAAATCGCCAGTTGTGTTTTGCTTTAAGGATTATTGCTGCCTTTGTGGGAAAGAAATAACATTAGGACATCCTCTCAATCCGGGGAAGATTAATCAGTAGGATTTCGATAGTTCTTGTGTGCTTTCATAAATATAACGATTCCTATTGGCCCGGTTAAAGAACATGGTAGACTTAATTACTATAGCTGATATTAAGAAGAAGCGGCACTTATTATGAGTAACAATAGCGTGGTTTATTTTTGGGGGAGATTTTTGCATGAATAGCGTCGAGATAAATGATGCGAAAATCAGGCATCGAGGGTATGGTGTTTGAGCACCAGTAACGATTTTTATTTCCTTGAAGCAAAGAAGAAAGCAATTTTTTTCATGACTTCAACGAGGCAAAATTATGAAAACTTTTATCCCTGGCTGTAACTTTTGATCTAGTAGCCCAATCTTGGAACCGTTTGATATTATGGAATCTACAGGCCATATTCTATAAGAAAATGTTTTTTCCGGTCGATCTGAGACAATTTTTTTTGGGGCCTCAAAAAACTTCCTTTTTTACCACAAATCGACTACACCAAAATTTCTCGGGAAAACACTTTTTCTTATTAATTTTGGTGCGTAGAATCCAAAACGATTCGTACTTTTTCTATTAAACTTCGCAATCAAAAGTTATGGACTAGAAACCAATTTCCCTGCCAATTTCGAAAGAAAATTCAAAATGCTGTAACTTTTGATCTAGTTGCCCAATCTTGGAACTGTTTGAAATTATAGAATCTACAGGCCATATTCTATAAGAAAATGTTTTTTTCCGGTCGATCTGAGACAATTTTTTTGGGGCCTCAAAAAAAGGCAGTGTATAACCTTCCTTTTTACCAAAAATCGACTACACTAAAATTTCTCGGGAAAACACTTTTTCTTATTAATTTTGGTGCGTAGAATCCAAAACGATTCGTACTTTTCTATTAGACTTCGCAATCAAAAGTTATGGACTAGAAACCAATTTCGAAAGAAAATTCATAGGGCTGTAACCCTGCTTTTATCAGATATAAGCTGCGGAGTATTGAATAAAAAGTTATATGACATAGTTATTAGGGTTATTAGAGGTTACTTACTAAAGGCATTAACCTACTCCGCTCCCGGGAAATTGACCGAATACAATTTATCGAAAGTAATAGTGGGTTTAAAGAACCATTATCATTAGTTCATTAAGATCATTAAGAAGTAGCCAATCGAAACAAAAGTTTATTGTGCATCACTAAAGCCCGTTTGTAACGATCCATTATTTAGTCAATTTTTAAATAATTTTTTTAAGAACAAAAAAATTGAACATTGAATACATCAACTTTCATCAATTTTTTGGTAGTTATTTTAGGCACTGAAAGTTGTCCTATTTTCCCTCAATTTTTTAGTAACTTTTGACAAATTATAGGGAATTTGTAAAATTAAAATTAAATTTATATTAATTTTTAAAGCTCACTATAATACGTTGACAGTAGATAGAGACCTTAGTTTACAGAACATAAATATTTAGTCTCCAGATTTAATATAACACAGGTTATGTTACATTACATTTTACAGGTACTAAAAAATTGACAATATTATTACATACAGTTTCATCATTTATGACATGTTTAGGATAGCATTATCTTTATTGAAGAAAAAAAGGACTAAAAATTTGACCAAATAAGTGATCGTTACAAACGGGCTTAAGCAACATAACTATACCTTTGTTTCTATTGGTTATTTCTGAATGATCTAATGATACAGATTTAATGGTAATGATTGTACAAACCCACCGAATTGGCCCAGTTTGTACGAAAAACAATTGAACCGATTCAACAGTTGGTCGAAATCCTTTCACCGAAAAGCAAACGATTGAATATAGATCTACTGGCCGTTTAAAATTTTAGAAATATCCTCCTTATCTAATGGGCACTTAAAAGCAAACCTTGATCATTAGCAAGTTTAACATACACTTTTACTTTATGATTTCAAGGTATCTATTGTACTAGGTACTAGATTCATTATTTTATGTGGTCCCAAACACTGCCTTGAGGTCGTTTTCTATGGGCAATTTGCACCTGGTGCTAAATGTGGGCTGTCGGGTGAATGCAGCAATTCTGGGAAGTCACTGTAAGAGCGCCGGTTTTTGTTCGCCGTGAGTTCGGTTGCTTTGCTCTAAAGGGGTAGGCAACCCCCACTGAAAGGGATCAGTTTATACAGTTTATACAGTTTATACAGTTTATACAGTTTATACAGTTTATACAGTTTATACAGTTTATACAGTTTATACAGTTTATACAGTTTATACAGTTTATACAGTTTAGTCAGTTTATACATTTTATACAGTTAATACAGTTTATACAGTTTATACCGTTTTAGTTTATACAGTTTTAATACAGTTTATACGTTTTATCAGTTTATACAGTTTATTACAGTTTATACAGTTTTATACAGTTTATACAGTTTTATCAGTTTATACAGTTTATACAGTTTAATACAGTTTATACAGTTTATACAGTTTATATACAGTTTTATACAGTTTTATACAGTTTATACAGTTTATATACAGTTTACAGTTTATACAGTTTATACAGTTTTACAGTTTATTTTAACAGTTTATACAGTTTATACAGTTTATACAGTTTATACAGTTTATATTTAATACAGTTTATACACAGTTATACAGTTTATACAGTTTATACAGTTTTATACAGTTTAATACAGTTTATACAGTTTATAACAGTTTATCCAGTTTATACAGTTTATACAGTTTATACAGTTTATACAGTTTATACAGTTTATACAGTTTATACAGTTTAAACAGTTTATACAGTTTAATACAGTTTATACAGTTTATACCAGTTTTATACAGTTTATACAGTTTATAACAGTTTATACAGTTTATACAGTTTAATAAGTTTATACAGTTTTATACAGTTTATACAGTTTATACAGTTATACAGTTTACAGTTTATACAGTTTAATAAACAGTTTATAAGTTTATAGCAGTTTTATACAGTTTATACAGTTTATACAGTTTATACAGTTAACAGTTTATACAGTTTATATCAGTTTATACAGTTTATAACAAGTTTATACAGTTTTATACAGTTTATACAGTTTATACAGTTTTAATACAGTTTATACAGTTTATACAGTTTATACAGTTTATACAGTTTATACAGTTTATACAGTTTATACAGTTTATACAGTTTATACAGTTTATACAGTTTATACAGTTTAGTCAGTTTATACATTTTATACAGTTTATACAGTTTATACAGCTTATACAGTTTATACAGTTTATACAGTTTATACCTACAGTTTACACAGTTTTCAGCTAAAAATGTAACAAATATAAAAATCGGGTGTAGGCATTGGCAACCCCTACTCATATGTTCTTATTTGTGCCTCAGTGGTGGACCCCAAGTATAATTGTGTTTTTACAACCATCTTAATTTAATACCTAAGCACCCAGACTATTTCACAAAATTTGTTATGTATATTCATTTTACAAGCAAATGAGAAAGATATTCCAAAGCTAACTTCACGTACGGATCCCCATAGTGAAAATTGCACTATACAATATACAAAGGGTATACGGCTTCGCATTCTGGATTAATTGTAAATTGCAATTACATTTGTAATGACCCAATGATCTGCAACAGATCACTCACAACCGCAATTATTTACAATTTCATGACATCAATGGATGTATAAAATGAATTCTCTGTAACAACACAGAAATAGAGCTTCGGCCGACACCGAAGGTATTGTTATTTCCTTATAATTTCTGAAACAATATCAATGTTGACACTTTCTTTATGAGATTATTGTGTGTTGCTTATGTATTCACACGGCTTAGTCCCATCTGAATCTTGCAATTAACTATAGCGTATAGTTGAACTCTGCATGTTTACGTTTAAAATCCATTGTAACCAATCATGACTAAACGAGGAACGTACAAACATTTGGAAATCGATAGCTAGGTATTAATTCTGTTTTCCTTTATGCCCTATTTCTGTTACAACGGAAGGGTAGATAAGTTTGACATAACACGAATTCGAATTATGTTGGAGAGGAATTTTCTAGTAATTAATTTAAGGATTTAATGAATATTACATTCGATATTAATTTGAGTAATGAATAAAAATTGT